GTTTACAGAGTCAGCATATTGCCCCCAACAACAATCCGGGTTCTCATTTTACCCACCTTGGAAGGATGGGTCAACCCTGAGCCGGTGAGATTTGAACAGCCGAACTACAGAACTGCAGTCAGCTGAAGTAGCCCTCAGTGCTGCATTTAACCACTGTGCCACCTCGCCACCTAAGTTCCCGTATTTGACATTCTTCCTGAAGGTCTATGGCCCTTATGTTTCCCCAACCTTGTTACCCTCCTGGCATTGCTCTTCTAAATCTGTATATTTTAATAGTAGCGTGTCTGGCATAAATAATATGTTAGATATATCTCTGCATATATTGCTAATCTTAAACACTGATTTTAATTTATACAGGAACTGAGGAAAAAATTCAGAAACTAATGAATAACCGGAAAGGATTGGATGCTCAGATTGAATTTTTAAGAGTTGTAAAAGAAACAGTATTTCCTGTCTCAGAAGACAGAGATAATACCTTAAGTAGTATCTCTGAATAACTTGCCATCTTTAAAATGTTCACTGATTTTTCTCCAGGTTACTTTGGTAGAAGACATTTTACACAAGGGTAACTGCTATTTTTCCATTTTTACAGTTGAAACCTTTTTGATTTAGCCAATGTTTTACCATTAGTTTTAAATTAGAATGTATACTTCCAAGATTATAGCTTCAAATACCTTCTATTAGATGAAAATTGATGGAAGAAAATGAGTGAATTCACCATATACATTTTATCTGCTGATGGCATTATTAACATAGTACTGTAAATCACTCTGGTTTTGGTTTACGTTTATCTTAGAGCTACCAGATATGGGTTACGATACGACGATTACTAGAGGATAAAAAGACAAATACCCAATACTTACCTGCCACTTAATGATCATTCAGGTTTTTGCAATTCCGACTCGGTATCTCTTATCATATACACTTACTTAATTTCCCAAAGAAACTGCCCTTCCTGCTTCAGGTTTTATGAGAAAGATTGTGCATATATACTTATACATATATTTAGATAGTGGTTCACTGTGCTAATGAGGCCAATTTATATAAATCTCAATTGGTTCACATCAAGTAAAACATTTCAGCAAACCTGCTACTTAAAAACTTTATGTCTTAAAGAATATTCCAAATTGCTTAACTGCAAGTAATAATTTAGTAAAAAGTATTTTCTAATAATGTATAGTTATTTAAATTTATACATTTGTACTCCTACATTTACATACCCTTTGCAGAATTTTTAAGATTGGACCATTTTGAAAATAAACATGAATTATGAGCCAAAACACTTTTTAAAAATGTGTATGTGATTCAAATTAAACCATTAGGTATCAGATAACAGCACAATCATTAAACCATGGCAATAAAAGAAATAATAAATTGCTCCTGTCCAAAAATTTGCACTTTCAACATCATGAACCTCAAGTGATTGCCTATCATGCAAGGTATTTAATCTTTTCTCAATCCTTTGGGAGAGCCTCCTAGAAACTGAAATTTAGATAAATTTGCAACAAGGACTAAAGTGTTGTATCTTATGATTCTTGATGAATGTATTTTATTTTTCTCTTTGTACACTGAGAGCATATATACCAAAGACAAATTCCTTGTGTGTCCAATCACACTTGGCCAATAAAGAATTCTTTTCTATTCTAAAGTAGGAAGTAACATACCTCCTTTCCTTCCCGTTACGCTTCTGTCTAGCTCTGAGCAGACTTGCTTTCTCAACCTTTACTTTTCTGGTATCATTTTTATCAATGAAAGAGGAGAAAATTGCTTTTGAGAAATTCTCCAGATAGCAACTTTGCTATGGTTCAGCTTCCAAGTCAATGACACACTTAAGTGACATAACCATCCAGAGGCAGATTTCAGTGGACTGAGCAACAGGTAGCTCAAAGCCCAACACCAGTATGCAGCCCATTCCTCCATCATCCATTTCTTTTCAGGTTTTATTAAACAATTTTAAGAGCAGTGCAGTGGTTTAAGAACTAAACTACTGAATATTGGACTGCTTCAATAGAGAAAGCGGTAGCCATTTAACTTTAATTCAACTTCTGAAGTATGAGCTGGTTCTGCATACTGTAATTTTAACATAGACAAATCAGGGTACGTTCAGTGAAGGACAATAGTATCAGAAGTAATACAAGAAATACTTGTATTTCTTCCTACAAACAAGGAAGCATCAAATCTCATGTAAACAAGAGATTAAGAGGCTGAGTGACATCATATTAGATATTTCAGATTAACAGTTGGAAGGGACCTTGTAGGTCATCTACTCCAACCCCCACATCCAAGCAGGGGACCCTATACTAGGTGTGTCAAATTGGCGGCCTGTGGGTTGAATGTGTCACATGCAGGCCATGCCCACTCTTAGCTCCGCGAAGGGAAAAAACATCATGAAACATCAAGTGACAGCAATGTGACACTGAGTTTGACACTCATGCCCTACACCATTTCTGACAGATGGCAGTCCAATCTCTTCTTGAAAGCCTCCAGTGATGAAGCTCCCACAACTTCTGAAGGGAAGCTGTTCCATAGGTTGATTGTTCTGTCAGAAAATTTCTCCTTCTCTATTGAACCTCGATCAATTTCCATTCATTATTCCTTGTTTGGCCTTCAGGTGCTTTGGAAAACAGGTTGACCCCCTCCTGTTTGTGACAGCCCCTCAAGTATTGGAACACTGCTATCATGTCCTCCCTGATCCTCTTCACTAGACTAGCCATACCCAGTTCCTGCAACCGTTCATCATATGTTCTAGTCTCCAGTCCCCTAATCATCTTTGTTGCTCATCTCTGCACTCTTTCTAGAGTCTCAACATCTTGTGACCAAAACTGGATACAGCATTCTAGGTGTGGTCTGTGGTCTTACTAAGGCTTTATAGAGTGGTATAAATCCTTCATGTAATCTTGATTGAATACCTCTGTATTAAGGTATTAGTCAATTTGTTCTCCGCTACACAAAAGCATTAGTAGTAACAGCTTCAGATTTTTAAAAAAGACAAAAAATGGCCTTAGAAACAGATGAGCTAATTCCATTTTAATAGAGATTTTTAAACAAGATGATTATTAGAAATCCATGGCAACAGATGCTGAAGCAGCACAGGATAGGTTTTACGTATAAGGGTCTTTTAAGCTCACCTGATTCTGGCAAGGTAAGAGGACTATGAGGGGAAACCTTAGTCATCCAAGAAGTGATTTCAGTAAACCACCAATAAATGAACAGCACCAAGTCAGAGTCAAACATCAGTCACTCCAAGAAGAAAGAAGCATAACTCTTCAGATCAGAGAATTGAAAGATCAAACTTTTCTATAGCAAATAACTTAATAGCTTTTCTCATGTATTCACATTTCAGAAATGCTGCGCAAATAATTAAGTTCCTAAATTCATTCTGACTTTTTTGGTGAAAAAAGGAGTCCATCCAGAATATCACAGTTCTCATATAAAGATTATTTAATGTATAATTTTAATAAAGTTTAGAACTCACATTAGGCAGGCATCCATTTTATTATATAGATTATACATAATCACAATGCAAAACAGCTTTCCGACAGTCATTTACTTTGAATGATTTAAGTTCCCAAAACAGAACATTATGCAATTATTTTCCAAACATAATACACTTCAAAGGAAATACAAAAACAATAATTCCAATTTGTTTAGGAAAAACAATCTGGTCCTTCAACATTTTAAGTTATTGTATAACTCAATGTACTTACAGTGCAAATCTATTACATCCCACTGAATTCAGTGAGACTTATTCCTAGGAAGATGTATAGAGAAATGGAGTATTTTTCACAAATTCTTCTCAAATGACTGAGTGCAAGTTTCCTTCATATATATACAGAGAGGATTATTCCTTTCTCAAAACTCCCTTTATTCCATGTAAGATATTTTCCAGTTGTCATTAGAGTGCTTCAAAAGAACAAGAGGTACCACAATGTGATTATAAAAATTAATAAGTCATCTCTGCAAAGAATCTCTGACATTATTTTGGCTACTTCTACCAACGCCACCTGTTCTGATTTTCTCAAGAGTTACTTAAAACAGTAAATAGATCCAACTCTTTGGAGTAACAAAACCCAAGTAAAGTGCTTGCTACTTAATTTGGAATCCCTTTAAGAGTACAGCTGTTGGGCATTGTGGTTTTATATTGCAGGTGATATAATTAATTGGATCTATGAGAAAAAGGCCTGAAAGCTGTGGAGATAATAGTCCAAAACAAACACATCTCTCAGTTCTTAAATGCTCCATGTTTACTGGCTTTAGCAATGAATTCCTTTAACAGAGAACCATCCATTTGCCAGAAGGCAGATGTCTGGGTGACTTCAGTCAAATGATTGATACAAAACTTAAAGCAGAATTCTTCTAAATCCTGGATAGAAAACAAAAAAAAATTAAACTCATTCAAAACAAGTTTTAAATTAAAACATTCAATACTACCAATGCCGAAGAAAATATTAACAGCATACACAGCATTTGTTATGTTCAACTAGGTCATTCTGCCACTTGTTTTAACCACAATAGAAAAAGGAAATATTTTAATTTTATCTGCCTTCAAATCTTTTTCCATGTATGTGAAAATACAATTTGAAGTAGACACAACCAGATATAGCAGCATTAAGATAGCACTTTTAAGTATTTTATTTCCAGATTATATTAGATTAATTTTGAATTAAACTATTTCAAGGTGGACTATCTCGATTGAACAAAAACTTATCAATAAGTAATGTATTTGGTATTAAAAACAGAATAAAAGTATTGTTTCGCATTCTTATTGCAACAGAAAAGCCACTCTCTTCATAGATAAATCATCCCTAAAACTTCACAAATGTTCTCTCATAACACACTTGGATCAATTTGCCATAACACTGGAAATAATTATTTGGGCAGATGTGTCTATTCTAACTCTTCTCTCTTCATTTTTACCACTAAAATGCTTATTATTTGATAATTCATGAAGAGAACTGCCTCCAATCATGTTTTACTATGTATAATGCAAAGGTAAAAAGTCTGTACTTTGGCAATGAGATACATACGCATCTCCAAGGTGTTGTGGCGTAAGCCCTGCAAAATAGTTTTGACTCTCATGGGGGAGGGGGGGGAATGCCTAGTATGACTCCAAGGAGCTGAACTGAATTAGATCTCAGGCTCTTACAATATTGCTGTAAACACAGGACTGCATTCTGCAGAGCCCAAGGCTCAATTCCTTAGTCCCAAATAATGTTATGGCAGCTGAGATAAGGTCCAACTCAGGGGTGGGTTCCTGCCAGTTCTAACCTCTTCTATAGAAGAGGTTCCACAAATCTACCGTGCTATTTAGAACCGGTTCCAGTTCCCTCCCCCCACCGTCCGCACCATGCTTGCCCCGCCCACCACTCACTGATTGGCTGGCTCACCAATCATCCCGCCCGCCTCTAAGAGTCCTATCTAAAACCTAAAGTCTTAAAGCTGTCAAGTTTGAATACCCCTGGGTTGTTTTTTTTCTAAAGGGTTAGGGGTGCAAGGATCTTGTAACTTGACAGCTTTAAGACTGGCACACTTCAATGCCAGAGTTCCTGAGCCAACATTTTGGTTGCTAAGC